GACAGTGCGATTGGCACAGGACAGAGCGGAGTTTAGGGCTGTTGTACATAGGGTCGCTATGAGTCGCAGGCGACTCGACGGCACATAACAACAACATATTCATGTTGAACTTATATGTATGTACTTTTTCCAATAGAAAGTTCAAGAGCTAGAAACCTCATTACGTGAAGCTAAAGAAAGTGCTAAACATAAGGAAGGGAAGATTATAAAGATGCAGAAAGAACTTGAGATGACTAATGACATGATAGCAAAACTTCAGGCAAAAGTTAATGAATCAGACAAATGCCTTGAAGAAACAAGAGACCTGGTCAGAGTACTTCAGGTAACGTAACAACTATAAATAAGAGATATTCTTTTGTCTTTTATTTTACTGTTAAATGTGGAGAGTGTGTTTGAGCATTCAGGCATGTTTGGGGATCCCTTGTTTCTTCCCCCACAACTTTGCCTGTGTATATCTGAAGTTCAGTAACCAGTTGTTTTGTTTTTGTTTTTTAAAGCAAACAACCTATATTGTCATGTAAAGTACTGTATATTTTGATCTGTCTAGAAAAAGAATTTTTAGAACACACATAAATGTTATTTCTTTAATAGTTAAAGGAAAAGATTTCTTTTTAGGAATTATTTCTTATGTAAGTATATAATATTCTGTATTCTCTTGCTCTTTATCATCACTGTCAAGTCAGAACTGACTCATAATGGGTTTTCAAAGGCTATAAGTCATATGGAAAGAGATTATCCATCTTTTTTCTGCAGAGCAACCAGTGGATTTGAACTGCTTGCCTTTGTATTGACAACATAACTCCTTAGTCACTAGGCCACTAGAGCTCCCTATTCTATATCAGATAAAGTAGGGATCTCTTGTGTAAATATAGAAGACTCTTTATTAGATAAATATACTTCCAATATTTTTTAATTTTCTTCATTTTTATTATAAATTGGAGATTTATAAAACAAAGTAATTTTTTATTCAACCATTGATATACATTTTGTTTAACAACATTAATTTCAATACCCATAATGCAATCCCACATATTCCACTTTCTCCCTATAATTCTGATGTCCATTAATCTTTCTGTACCTCTCTTTGCCTTCCTTTTCTTTAATGATAAGCTAATCATTATTTGATACCTTTATTTGATAGTGTCTATTTGATGGGCTTATTGTTTATTTATTAATATTTACCCCCCTCTCTCTCTACTCATCTCTGGTAACCTCTGAAGAATACATTTGTGTATGAACATTTCCTTAATATCTTATAACAGTGGTCTTATAATACTTGTCCTTTTGTGAGATATATCCGTGTTATGCAGGGTTTTCCAAATTCTTTATTAATTTTTAGTTCTGCAAAGTACTCCATTATGTGAATGTACCATAGTTTGTTTGTCCGTTCTTCCATCAGTAGAGACTTAGATTGTTTCCATATCTTTGCTGTTATACATAATGAACACGGGTATGAATATATCTGTATGGCAGCTCCTATTTCTATGCGTTGTATATCTTGTAGTGGAATTGTAGCTGGATCAAATAGTATTTCTATCCCTTTCTTTCTATGGATGAGCCAAACGGTTTTCCATAGTGGTTGCATATTCTTTTAATTTCTTTTTTTAAAATTTTGTTTGCTGGTTAGCACAGGAATCTAGAATTAAGGTTCCATAGAGAAGTGCACTCGGGGTGGGGGGTGGGGGGAAGGGATGTGGGAATTGTATACTAATGAAGAAATTTTTTTTTTCTCTCTTCAGAGGGGGAAGTGAGCTGGTGGGGAGGGGTGGGCAGGGAGAAAATTGCAGCAATGAATGATTGGAAATCCAAAACCTCTGTAAAAAAAATAAAAAGTTTAATAAAAAAAATTTTGTTTGCACCATTTTACATTCCTACCAACAGTGTATGAGAGTTCTAATCTCTCCACACACTTATTTACTTGTTCTTTGCTGTCTTATTAACCTTTGCTATTATGGCCGATGTGAAGTGATACCTCACTATGGTTTTTACTTGCAGAGTCCCACTTGGTAATCAGTAAGCTACATGTTACCTATTTTCTTTGAAAAGAATAGTAACTTGATGTTTGCTTGGTTTTTTTAGTGGTTTGGGGGCTTTTTTTTTTACTCTTCTCTAGCACCACAGCTCAAAGGCATCAATTCTTCTATCATCCCTAATCATTGTCCAGCTCTCTGATGTATAGCAAGTAATTGCAGAGACCATGGCCTGTATCAGGCACACCTTAGTCTCCAGACTGACATCGTTGTTCTTCAGTACTTTGGAGAGCTCTCTGATAGCAGATTTTCCCAGTGCAATTCATCTTTTAATTTCCTGGCTGCTGTTAACCAAGAGTGTTGATTGTAGAGCCAAGCAAACTGAAGCTATTAACAGTCTCAATCTCTTCACCATTTACTCAGCAAATATTTGTTGAATGTCTATTATGTATTCCAATGCTAGCTATACAGCAATGGGAAGAAAAAACCCCCTTCTTCATGGGGCTTACATTAGGTTCAAAGAGACAGAAAATAAACAAGTAGTTATGTATGTCACATGGTCAAAAGTGTAATGGGAAAAATTAAACCAGAAAAGGGGACATTTAAGTGCTGAGATGGGCTTTTATGGAGTAAGACATGTGTTTTTATATAAGAGAAGTGACATTTGAAAAGAGACCTGAAGGAAGTGAGAGAATGAGCCATGTAGTCAAAAAGAACCTTTCAAGAAAAAAGTAGCAAATGTGAATTCCTCAAAATAAACATACTAAACAGGTGTTGGGTTTTTTGGTTTGTTTTTTTTTTTTTTAGAAAAAGCAAGGTATCAGTGTGTCTTCACACTGTAAGCAAGGAGAGAGGTGGGGTGTTGAGTACTGTCAAGTTGGAACCAACCTATAGCGGACCCTCCACAGGTTTTCAGAAGCAATTAATCACACAGAAGGAGATTGCCCATTTTCCACCCACTGAACAGCTGGTGGATTCAAAAAGTGTGCATGCAGGCTTGCAGTGTAGCTTCTCACCACTAGGCCACCAGAGCTCAAAGCAAGGGTATAGAGGTGGCAAATCAATTAAGAGATAGTAGACAGCACAATTACCAAAGGTCTTATGGTATGTTATAAAGACTTTTGTTTTTATTTTAAATGAGGATTCATTGGAGGATTTTGGCAAAAGGGTGTTGTGTATGGTATGTCAGATTTTTAAAGGTGGTTCTTTTCACATACTATCACATTAGAACCAACTAATAACTTACCTTCCAGCTGTTTTCAGAGGCAGTAAATTGCACAGGAGGTGATTGACCATCCTTTTCCCACAAGCAGCTGGTGAATTTGAACCACATGTCTTTAGATCGGCTGCATGCTCCTTACCCTTAAGCCACCACCTAAGCTCCCTTTTTTAAAAATAGTTTGTATTGGGGTGATTAATTAGCTACTATGCGAAAGGGAGCTCTGGTGGCCTACTGATAAGGATCTGCACTGCAATCCCAAAGGCACTTGGTTGGAATCCGCCAGCCACTCCACAGGAGAAAGGTGGGCAATCTCCTCCTGCAATTACTGCCTCTGAAAGCCTGCTGGAGGGTCTGCTGTAGGTCGGTTCTGACTCATTAGTACAGAACAACAACATGTCAAGAGAAGAAAAAGTGCAAAGGCTCAAGCAGATGGACACATATTTCAGTACCGCAAACAAACCCACAGTTACAGGTTGGTGGGGTGACTTTACTCCAGTCACCCTGAGGCTCACATGTCCTTGGTCTTGTTTCTCTGCTGTCCTCTTACATGCTGCTTTCATCTGCATGGTTAAAGCTGTTCAGGCTCATGGAAAATGGACAAGATGAAAAACTTAAAAAAGCATTAAAATCTCTATTCTTAGAGGCTCTTGAGGAGTATTAGTGGTGTAGTGTGTAGGGAGTTGTTTCTAACTTAAAGGCCACACCTCTCTTGGTGGTTCAAACCCACCAGCAACAAGAGAAAATGGCCAGTCTCCTCCCATGTCCTTCACAGCCATGGAACCCTAGCGGAGGGGCAGCTGTGAGTTGTTTCCAACTCCAAAGCAATGAGTTTGAGTTTTACTTTTCTTAAAGGCTCTGAACAAGTAGGTATAAAGTTCAGTTATAAATATTATTGCGGGTGAAGGAGAGAGAGAATTTCAGTAAAGGAAAAGCTAGCTTTGCCATAAAAAGGCAAGAGCAAAAAACAGAAAACATATAGAGGAGTCCAGTAAGGAGTATCAGGTGAGAGATGAGAGGGCTTCAACCCGAGTGGCAACAGTAGAGCACTTGTCCTATGTTTTATAAGATTCACGTCCAGCTCATTGCCATCCAGTCGCAACTCGCTCAGAGCTGATCCTCCAACAGATTTTTAGAGGCTGTAAATAGCATGGAAGAAAATGGCCCATCTTTCTACAGCAAAACAGCAAAATCACTGGTGGGTTTGAAATGCTCGAGAGGCACCTCATTTGAGTTAGCGCATCTCCCTACAGGCTAGGCCACCAACCAGATAGCCCTGAATTTTAAAAGATTGAATGGCAGAATTTCCTCACAGGTTACTATATAATGTGAAAGAAAACCTGGAACAAATGGGCAGTCTCCTTCCACACCCTGAGTGTCATATTATTCAGATGTCAGCTTTTAAATAGGGGGAAAATAATATTTTCTAATATTAACTTTGAACAAACTTCACATCAAATACCTAATCATTAGTTCATTTTAGTATTGAAATTGATACCTTTTCTACATACCACATATTTGGAGTTGATTGCTGTTGTAAAATGTACACATTTTGTTAGAATTGAAACTGTTCTAATAACTGTATGGTTCTCTTTTCTCTGTAAAAACATAGGATAAAGTTGCTTTAGGAGCCGCGCCCTATAAAGAAGAAATAGACGATCTCAAAACAAAGCTGGTGAAAACAGACCTAGAGAAGATGAGAACTGCCAACGAGTTTGAAAAGGAGTATGTCTTTGCCTAAATTTAATAGCTTAAATTTTCTTTTTGAAACTGTATCAACTTTTTGCCTTAATTTTCTTAAATGTATCTTATAGGATTATTATTTTTACTTTTTTTAAAAGATATAAATTATTTTTAATTCATTACATTATAACTACATAAAAGTCTTTAAAATAAGCACAATTTTTATCAGTTAACACACAATGTATTTGAATTTTGTAAACAACTTTATAATGACCTTGCCAGTGAACCTGAAAAACCTGTGACCCTTGGCTGTACTATAGTCAGGACTTGCTTTCCTGACACTGGGAAATAAGGCAGATTTCCTTTTTCCTGCTCTGGCAAATCTTGTTCCCTCCGGATGTTGCTGGGACCCCACAGTAACAGCTCTGCTTTGTTGCCTTTTTTGTGATGCCTCCAAATGTAATTTTGCTCAATATCCAATTATTAACTGTTGAGCCTTTGGAAATTTAAAAAGAACTCTTACCTCAATGTTAAAAAAATTGAACAGTCCCTGAGCTTACACAGAATACTCTTGATTTGGTGATGTTTTTGAGCACAAGGGCACACTGCCAGGGTACTTTGCACTGTAACTACTTGTGGCTATTATACCCCTGTGATAGAAAAATCCTATTGAGACTTTCTTAAAATAAAGGATTAGTTATTGAGTTTTAATATATTTTTATTTTTTTATTTATTAGAATTGCTTTAAAAAATGCCACTGTTGAATATCAAAATGATGTTATAAGGCTATTAAAAGAAAACCTTAGAAGAAGCCAACAGGTACAGGAAACTTCACGTAAGTAGAAACAGCAAGTGTTTTTAGTTCTTTTCTGTTTACTCTGTCCATTTATACATCTTGAAGATGACTATTACATTACATATGTGATAGTTAAGAATAAACCTGAACTAACCATTAATTTAGAAAGAATTTATTTAAAATAGGAGCATGTTTATCCTGTGACATCTTTGTCATTTGCTATATAATCTCAGCTGCTTATCCATTATAGATTATAGAAAAAAAATATGTATTTTACTTTTAAATTATCAGATATTATTCATCAAAAATATCTTCATTCTACTAAATTTACTACTTTGTTCTACTGAATTTACATCACTTCCTAAAAAAAAGTACAAAATCATTGCTTAACAGATTTTACCTCTATGCAAGTGCTAAATTATAACCTATACACAGTAAAAATAAGTAAACATGTATTTTAATTATTAATACTTGTTTATGCAATTCTTTAAACTCTTGAGTCTAATGGTCAAAATCTGCTTATACACTTTTCATATTTTTGTCCATGTTTTATTTCATTTTTTTTTTCATTTATAAAGAGAGAATGTTTCATAAGATAAGGGATGGTTTTGTGTTGTAGAACAATCACAAAACTAAAGTCAGGGACTCGAGCTTTGAATCAACAACCCTCAACTTATTGGCTTTGTGGAATCAAGGTGTCATCTGATCTTCTAGTTTATGTACTTATTATAAGACTTGACCCAAAGATGTGTGTGAAAACTCTGATTGCCAAGTAAACATAAGTGATGCTTGCATGTTTTGTTGTCTTAAGTACTAAAAAAAAAAAAAGATTCAAAGTTAAATGTGGAGTGTAGTATTAATTGTAGCCTGAGCTTCCGTGGTATCAATCACAGCTACTACTTGGACAGCTTCAAGTGCTGAAAAGAAAACTTAAGATTCTTTGCTGCTACAGAAGGATTGTGATAATTACCTTGATTTGTCAGAGACTATAGTTATAGTGTTAGGCCTGAATTAGAAATTCAGATTCTGCTCCCAGGCCTGCTCACCTGTCTTGAATAACAGGAATTTTCTTGACCTAGTGGTTCATTTCACTTTACAAACACTTCACATTTTTATGCAACTTTACCTACAATTAATAAAATTTGACCCCTTACATTTATTTCATATATAGTATCAAATACTTAAGTGCCCCTTTTGAAACACTGCTTGTTTATTTACTTAAAGAGACCAATAATTCTGAAAAGATATACTACTATGCTATGCATTAAAATTAGTTAGAAATTATACTAAAGATGTTTTCTTGTTTTATTATCAATGATAAAAATAAATAACACCAATTTAATAATTTTACATATACAGTTTAGTGATGCTATATTAACCATGTGCAGCCATCACTCTTAATAATTTCCAAATTATTCTGTCACCATTAACAGAAATCCCTAAGCAAAGACTCCTCCCTCCTCCCCCTGACCCCTGTGAATACCCTTTGGTATCTATGTATCATTCTATTTAATAAGTGGAAACATTTCCATATCTACGTTTTTATGATAAACTGTTTTTATTCAGAATAATATCATCAAAATTCAGCCATATCGTAACATGTATCAAAGGTAGAGTTTCTTTTTATAGCAAGTAATAATACTCCATAGTACATATATGCCATACTATCTTAATATATTCATCTGTTGGTGGACATTTCTGTGGTTTCCACCTTTTAATTATTGTGAAAAACAGTGGTACAATGAATATTTATGCATAGTTAATATATGCTTTAGTACTATTCTAAGGCTTATTTAACTAGCAAATGTGCGTGGTGAGAACTTGGAATCCACTGAGGTGAGGAATACGCTCTCCTTTGAAAAGTTGCTTTTACTGTATTTATGGTGAATCATCGTAGTAACCTGGATGGATATGATAGTGGAAATAGGAATGGAAAGAAGCAAATGGACTCTAGAGGGAATTAAAATTGATTGGAGAAGTCAAGGATGACTTCCATGGAGTTGGAGGTTCAAATGTTTTGAGATACAGAGTAGCTTAGTCTTTGCAGTAATATTTTCTTCATTTTGACTTTGGAGACAACTGAAATATCATTCATTTGCTTATTTGCCTCTTACAGTGGTATCAGAAAATGTTGATCCTCAGTCTACACATAAAATCATAACCTGTGGGGGTGGCAGTGGCATTGTACAGAGCACTAAAGTTCTAATTTTGAAAAGTGAACATATGAAGCTAGAGAATGAAATTTCGAAGTTAAAAAAGAAAAATGAACAGCTAATTAAGCAACAGAATGACATATTAAGGTAAGATCTGCTAAAGTCATACAGCTACTATGCTTATATTATTCCATACATCTGAGGGAGCTTTGGTGCTTAGTTGATAAGGAGTTGTGCTGCCAACTCAAAGGCAGGTGGTTCAAATCCACCAGCTGGTCCACAGAAAAATGGGCATCTCCTTGCATGCGACATACTGCATCTGAAAGTCAACCGTGTGTCGTTTCCAACTCAGTGGTACATAACAACAGTAGCATTCCGTGTGTATAGGATGTGGTATATGCACATGCATGTTTTTGCAATGAGAAAAAATTATAGAGAAAATAACTTTTAGAGCTCATGTAATCATGTCTTTTTTAAAAAGAAAAGAATGTGGGAGCACCATTCCAGATGTCTTCTGTCCAGCCACTGACCTAATTTTAACCTGGCCAAGAACCAGGAAGTAAGCAAAGACTTGGAAAAGAACCTGCTTCAATTCCCTACAGGGCTTTATTCCCAAGACAGTGAGGCTGTACTCAGTCCATTGTGGTGGTGGTGTGTTTTATTCAATTGACTGGCTCAGTGACCCTATGTACAACAGCTCTGAACCCTGCTCTGTCTTGAGCCATTTATTGCCTCTAACACCTACCCCCATTATCCCATTCACTGAGTCAATTCATCTCATCCAGGGTCTTCCTCTCTTGCGCTGTCTCTCCACACTTCCAAGCATTATGTCCATCTTAAAGGACTGGTCCCTCTTGGCAACATGCCCAAAATATGTCAGATGGAGTTTCAAAATCTCTGCCTGCAAGGAGCTGCCAGGTTTCACGCTTTCAAGTACAAACTTGTTTGTTCTTGTAGCAGTCCACAACATATTCAATACTCTTCTCCAGCACCACAATTCGAAGGCATTGATTTTTCTTCTATCATCCTTAGTCATTGTCCAGCTCTCTGATACATAGCAAGTAATTATAAAGACCATGGCCTGGATCAGTCATATCTTAGTCCCTAGACTGACATCATTGCTCTTCAGTACTCTGGAGAGGTCCCTAACAGCAGATTTTCCCAATATGATTCATCTTTTGCTTTCCTTTATCATAGCTTAATTCTAATATAATATGATCAGTTCTAACAAACTTAATTATTTGGCTTCAATATAGCCTTTCAAAGATTAGACTGTACTCTTATTTGTGATGGAATAGTATTAAAGTGGACATTAAACAAATTGTACAAATAACTATAATGAGTACTGTTTTTAAAAACTAAGGTATGAGGTGGTATTGCAGAGGGATCTAACTTTATCTGTACTTGTATATTGGGAGGAGGGATGATCAAGAATTGATTATATAAGGAAATCTGTTTTTCCTAAATTTGTACAAATTAGACCAGATGAAAAGGATAAGGGTTAACCATCTTTGCATCAGAAAGAATAACCAGCTGAAGGAAATAAAACATGTTTAGTGTGGCCAGTGTGGTGAATTTGAGACAGTATGGTATGAGCTGAGATACCAGAAGTAACTGAGTCCAAGTTACTAAGGACTTAGGGCCTTGCCAATAATTATTAAGAAGTTTTATAATATTCTCAATGTATTAGGAAGCCAGGGTTTGATTTTAGGCCAGGGCCTGATGAAATGAAATAGCATGTTGGCTAATAGCATATTACTGGAGAAAATTATTAGAAATCTGTTTATAACCACCGTCCAGGCCAAAGATTTTACATATGCTAGAATGGTACTGATGTTGATAGAAATAAGGTGAGTTTGGGAGATAGTTATGAAATAGCAATAAATTCATCCTATATGAAATTCAGGAGAGTCGACAGTAGGATTCTCTCCTTGCTTTTGGTGAGAAGGAACTGAATGAATAACATTGGCATTTCCTGCCAGAAGCGAAGCATTCTATCTAGAAAAGCACAATGCAGTATTTCTTTAAAAACAACAAAGCAACATCAAAGCTCCATCTGTCTAGGAGATCTGGCTATTAAATAATCATAGCAAAGTGCCGTTAGATAAACCACTTTGAATATCATTCGTTTGAAAACTTCACATCATGTTTTAAGCTTCCTTTTCAAGACTCCACGGTTGGGAGGATTTACTGTAACTCCTTGATTCATGTAGCCCATTTCCTTTTTTGAACTGTAGAAATAGTCTAAGGAGTAAGGTTGGCATTTAAATGTAAATGTAATATGAACACACTTTAGAACTTCAAAAGGCTTACACTCTCCTTTTTTCCCCCATTTAAGCGACAATGAGCGTCTTTCCAAAGAGATCAAAATACTGAAGGAAAGAACCATTAAGAGAGAAGCTCACAAAGAAGTTATTTGTGAGAATTCTCTAAACTCTCCTAGAGGGCTTGGAACACCTTCTAAGAATAGAAAAAGTATGCCTTCGCGGTGTAAGGAACGGAATGTACAAGATCCTGGGCCAAAGGAGTCTCCAAAATCTTGGTATTTTGACAGCCAATCAAAGTCTTTACCAACAGCTCATCCAGTTCACTATTTTGATAACTCGGGTTTAGGCCTTTGCCCAGGTAAGTAAATGCATTGATGACTGGATAAAGATGTTAATACATGTGCAATATGTGGCCCAAAAAGACACATTTTAAAACAAGAAAAGGAATCCTTGAGCCTGTTACAGCCCGCAGGCTGCCTTTGCCATCCCTGTGAAAATGAGCTGCTCTGAAGTGCAGCCCTGGAATGCACGCCTTTCTTCCTCCAAGTAAAATCTTTATTCTGCCTCTTAAGCTCTCATCTTTCCCCTAAAATAGATAAGCATCTTTTAAGAAAGACACTGTTGTTATTAGGTGCTGTGGAGTCCTCTACAGCTCATAGCGACCCTGTGAACAACAGACCAGAGACCTGGCCTATCGTGCCGCGTCTTCACAATCTGCCCCAAACCCAAGCTTCTTTTTTACAGTCACTATATCAGTCCATCTCATTGAGGGTCTTCTCCTACTTTTCCTAACACCTGATAACAGGCCCAAAGTATGTGAGATGAAGTTTCACCACCCTTGCCTCTAAGGAGCAATCTAGTTGATAAGACTTGTCCTTTTGGCCAGTCCATGGGATATTCAGTATTCTCCAACAGTTCAAAGACACTGGCTGCCACTCTATAGCTATTTTATAAGCTCTTGTTGGTTCAATGTTGTTGTTGTTTGTTGTTAAGTGCCATCGAGTTGCAGGTGACTCATAGCGACCCTATGAAGGAGAGTCCTCGACGCTTGGGTGCCTTTCATCCTCTCTCCAGGTTCATAGGGTTTCCAGAGGCAAGCTATTATGGAAGTGGATGCCACTCCTCCTTCCAAGCTTGTTTTAATTGGGGAGCTCCACCCAACTGTCTGTCCACATTGGGTAGCCAACCATTAATGTGTTTGACACATCAGTGCCACAGTGTTCAGCCTCACAGCAACCACAAGTTACTGCTATACGGCAATTTGTACACCAGGGCTATACAACCTAGAGGAATGTCTGAACAAAAACAATGAAAGACAGGCCCGAGAGCCACCAATTAAAAGTCACCCACCTTTGGCTTGGTAGCATCACTTTCTGTCCACTGGGCCAGCTGATCTCTCTCTCTGTGTTGATATTACTATTGTTAAAGTGCCGTTAAGTTAGTTCAATAGGACTGCATTACTCATAAACTTTACATAAGCCAAATAACCAGAACATAGATGTGCATCACTTATTCATTCAGTCTTCAAATAGGAGTCTCCTGCTAGGAGTCAGATAATAGACACTGATTAGGATTACCAGACATTGTCTCTGCCCTCAATAAGCTGTCTGATAGAAGATACAGATCTAATTTAGGTAGTGAGGAAAAGTAAAATTATGTTTTAAATGTGAAGGTAAAAGTCTGTGTGAGAGCATATAGAATTTGTTGCTGGTATATTGAGTAAAGGGAGCTCTGGTGGCCTAGAGAATAAGGAGTTGCACTGTGAACTCAAAGGCAGACTTTTGAAATCCACCAGCTGCTACCTGGTCTCCCGTGTGATGTACAGCCTCTCAAAACTCACTATTGGGTCAGCTATTAGTTGGTTCTAACTAGGCAGTGTAAAAGAGAGATTGAATAAATCTTCCTTGAGGAAGGAACTGAAATCAATAGCTAACTAAACAGAGTAGAGTGTAGAGTGAAAACCCTTTCTGAGGACTGGGCAACAGCCCTAATGGGTGTAACGCCAGCACAAAGTGGAGTGTGTGAATAGAATCAGTGAGGCCAGACCAGGTAAGACTTAGGTCATTGAAAGGAATTTTTACCTCCTCCTGAGAGCATTTAGAGGAAGCCTTCGAAAGATTTTAAACCAAGGTTCGGGGAACATGATGTTACAAATCTTGAAAATTCTTCCAGCTATAAGGTAACCAACAAACAATAGAGGCAAGAGTGCATGGCAATTGTCTAAGCAAAACATGAGGTAATTTGGACTCAGACATATGCACTAGAGATGAAGAGATTGGAAAGTATAGTGGGCATCACAAGGCTGGAAATGCCTAGCTGAATGTGGTGGGGAAGGAGGGTGCATTTCAGGATCACTTGTCAGTTCTGCAGGGTGCTGTCCACAGAGAAGGGCCCCACTGTAGGAACTGCTGTATAGCTTCCTAATTCTGTTACCTTTTTCACCTCATGTGTGTCCAGGTGAGCATGGTCCCAGCTTAAGCTACTTAAAGTTGTTTGTTCAATCAGAGCCCCTAATGACTCTCAGAAATGATGCAACTGAAGAATTCTAAAGGAACAGAATTGGACAGCTTCTAAATCATTTACAACTTTGTACAAAGTCTGCCAAGGTCCACTATCAGTAACTATCCATCAAAATTAGACCACTGTGGCAGTCCAAAAGTCCTCTCAGGGGCATAGTAAGAGACAAATCACTTGGAAAAAGAATGTTTGAACTGTCCTTTTTTGTTGAAATATTTAAGTACTTTCTATTGTCTAAGTCTTCATGTAGAACTTTTGTCACACACACCCCAAACCATTTCAAAAGTATCTTTTGAAGAACTAAGAAATATTTATATAACACATTCAGTTTTATCTGATAGTGGCAGAGGCTCCTAAGCAATACTGATTAATGCGAACTGCAAAAAATATAAAGGAAAACGTCTACTTCTTTTTCCCCAATATTTGGGTCTGTCTGGTACTATTTTTGCAGTGAATAAAAGTTGTAATTGTTGTTGTTAGGTGCCATCTCATAGATGGAATTACAATTAATAGTGACCCTCTAAATATCAATAAATGACAATAAATATCCCCCTTGCCCTACCCTGTGTCATCATAAGCTCCACCGTGCACAAGCCTAGTGTAACATTCACTGTATCATCTCATCTCGTTGAGGGTCATATTCTCTCCGTCCCTGTCTCTACCTTTCCCAGCATGATGTTGTTTCCTAGGAGGCTCCCTCCCTTTCACAACATGCCCAAAGTACGTGAGACCAAATTTCACCATCCTTGCCTTTAAGGGACACTCTTGTTGCATGAAAGTGTCAGTTAAAGGAATCTAGAAATTTAAAAATTCTACTATCCAAATTGATGAATTTTAAGTAAGATTTTATTACTTTTTGTATAATAGGGTTTTCAAACACAAATAAGTTGTTTGTTTTTACAACTATCTTCTAAAATAGGGCTTCTCATTGGGGGTTTTTTCCTTACTTATATTAACAGTTCTTTCTCTGAAAGAATATAGAATAAACATTTCAAGTTCTGGTGAAGTGAAATGCACTCTTTTTTTAGCATCAGACGCAGTGAAACTGATTGACCACGTCATTTTCACTCATCTCTCTCCTGACATCTTTTCCCCTTGTAATTGTGCATATCCTTTTTAACTGAATTAATGTGGGGCATTATTTTCTTTCTCAGAAAAACATATAGAGGAAGCAGAGAATGTGGACCCCCAGCCAGGTCCCTGGCATACCTCTTCTGAAAGAGATGCACCTGAATGCAAAACCCAGTAACTCTGCTGCTGTCACCTGTCCTGAGGCTCACGCTCCTTGCGAGGGGCCATGTTTGCCACTTCGTGCCTCTTCCAGGCAATGAAGTCACAATCTAACTTAATTTCACATTCAGTGTTTACTTCAGCACTAGAATCAGAAGCTCAAGAAGGAAGTTAGTTCATGTCAGTCATTTAGAATGATGAGACAAAATGCCTTGTTCTTGAATGTGATTGCTTTAGAAGTTGAAAGATTTTATTTATTTGTATGGTTTTTGTAAAGAATAAAGTTATTGAAGGAAATTTTCATGTGTGCGTTTCATGTATACATTTTTATTAACTCAAAGTTAACCACATATTACTTTGAAATTTCCAGAGTATTATACATAAATTAATGTAAAACATCATTTAATTAACAAAAAAATTATAGCACCTTGTATATTCAATAAATTCCGTTATTAAAAAATTTGCAATTCTGGATCCCAGAATGGTTTCTTGATGAGTGACCGAGGTATTGTCTAGCTCTTCTCATTGAGTTTCAGAGGTTTTATATGAAAATATATGTGTTTTAAATGTTAAAGAATAACAGGGTCCTCCTTTTGGTGTCACGGTTCCAAATGTCCTTTCTCGCTTTTCTGTTACCCATTCACAACCTTACAGTAGCACATGGTTGGTTGGTTGGTTGGTTGGTAAATTTCCTTCTTCACTTTACCTTACTCCCAGCTGATTCTGGGTTTTTTCCAGAATACTAGTATCCATACTTTCTTATATTCTCAGGGCATCTGTGACCCTGTTTTACTCTTCATAGACTATCATCTTCTATTTTTGCATCATATAATGAAACTCCACATACACACACAAGCCTAGTTGCATAAGCTTATAGAGCAGAGTAAAAGTGAGTTCAAGGAAGCTTTGAATCAGAAGATTCTTTCAAGGAGTAGATTGTAGATTGAATAATTTAAAAATCTCTGGATTGGCTATTTTCCCTTTCCAAACATTCTATCACACTCATTCACTCTTGCTGAAGCCTGTCCTTTGATTTTTATCCCTCCTCCCTGAACATCACTCTGTGATGAAAGTGTGGGTCTGAATCATCCATTTCTGAATTAAAGAGTAACCCAGAGTTACTGTGTAAGTTTGGTTAATAAACAGCTTTTTAAGGTCATAGGTATAACCAACATTTAAAACCCAGTCTAGAAGAATGTTGCTTAACCCATGAAATGAGTTTCAATACCATGAATGATTGTGGAAAAGCCAGCCATGAAAACCAACAGTGCTTAAAAAGAAAGAAAGGGGGAAAGTAAGCAGATAATATTTTTTAAAAAGCTAAAAAGTAAAATCAGGACCAGACAAGGCAAAATGTGCTATTTCTCATGAAGAAAAGAGGTATTGAGAACCTACTGCATACTGATCACTGGTTTGCTACCTATCCAAATGGGCAAGTTACCTACCCTGTAACTTGGACAGATTCCAAGTTTTCCAGTATTGATGATGAGTGGCATGGAAGGCTGAAGAATATGACTATGTGATAAAAAATGAATTGGTCTTTATACCAATTATATTCATAAACATTCTCTTGCATTGCTTCCAAGTCAGAACCAACTCATAATTGACCCTACAACAGGTTTTCAGAGGGGATAAATTGCACAGAAGGAGGTTTCTCATCTGTCTCACCCAAAGCAGCTGGTGAATTTTAACCACTTGCCTTTGGGTTATTAATCTTTACCCCCTAAGTTGCCAGAGCTCCCTAATCATTGAAAGTCTGGAAATATTACAAATTCAGTAGAAGGGCATTAAAGCAAGGATGATTTTATAGATTCCACTCAGTCACTCCAGGAGGGCAATTTTTTTTTTTTAGAGCACCAACCTGGACACATGCAGTAGCACTGATGCCATTGTCCACAGGGAGTTGCCCTGCTAACCCAAAGGCTGTACAATTGAAGGTTTGAATCCATCCCCTGCTCTGAGGGAGAAAGATTAGCAATCCTCTGCGCAATCTACAGCCTCTATAAACGTGCTGGAGAGTCAGCTATGAGTTGGTTCTGACTCGATGGCAATGAGGTTGTGAGTGGACACATACAGGAACAGCTCATGGTTTTAAAGCACACATTTTAAATAATTTCTCTGTCAACTGCCACAATAATTACTAACATTGAGTATATGCATATCAACATTGTACTGATGTTTCAGATACGGAATCTTTTCCCTCACAACATCCTTGAGCAAATGCCATGGTTACCTTCATCTGACAGATGAGAAAACCATTTGGAAAATTAACTTTGGGGAGGAAATGATGCAATAAAGAATGATTTTTTCTAAAAAAAGTATACGAGAGTTGTTATGGGCCATCGAGTCGCATCTCATAATGACCCTATGTACAAGAGCCCTGAATGCCGTTCTGTGCCAACCTCGCTGTCTCAAACACATTCATTCCCACCACTCCACTCACAGAATCGATCTATCTCATCGAGGGTCTTCCTCTCCTATGCTGCCCCTCCACTCTGTCAAACATGATGTCCGTCTCCAAGGACCAGTCCCTCCTTGCAACATCCCCAAAGTATGTCAGACGAAGCTTCAGAATCCTTGACTCCCAGGAGCCCTCTGGCTTCACCCTCTCCAAGACAAGCCTGTTTGTTCTAGCAGTCCATGGTATATTCAACACTCTTCTCAGCACCAAAGCTCAAAGGCATCAATTATCTTTCATCCCTATTCACTGTCCAACTCTCTGATGCATAGCATGTCATTGCTCTTTAGTACTCTTGAGAGGTCCCTCGCAGCTGACTTTCCCAATGCAATTTGTCTCCTGATATCCTGGCTGATGTTACCAACAGTGTTGACTATGGAACTAAGTAAACTAAAATGGTTATTTCAATCTCTTCACCATCCGTACCGATGCTGCCATTAACAATGAATGAATGAATGAAAATCCAACTTTTCTATAAACTTTCATTAAACAATGAATGAATGGAATCCCAAAATCTCTGTAGATGTTCATTGAAATGAAAAATAAACAACCTAAATTTAAAAAAAAAATACATAAGAATAAGCAATGCTGCGACAAAACATTGTTAAAAAATTCCTTGAAAAGCCAGGAAAACATTATTTATAAAGAAATTTGTTTGAATTTACTTGTTACCCTAAATATCTTTTTTATGAAAATAATATTTATCAAAAGTTTTACATCCACTCAAACTGTACTCCTAAATAAAAGACCTCCAACAGTTGTAAAAAAAAAAAAATCACAATTTAAGAAAATTAAGTAACTTATAGTTGGCAAAGGAATTGAAATTCATCCAAGTCTTTCTGATGATGTATGTGTTCACTGTGACAGGGATATATTTTACTCCAAGTAACTGAAAGACAATGGTCTAAAACAGGACTTTCTTGTCCTGCACAAGTACAGACACTTATTGTGCTGGGGCTTCAAGGTTGTCTTCAAGGTTCCATTTCCTTCAGCCTGTGCAGGATACGGCAAGGTTTCAATTTACTTTTGATAGGGTCGTTATGAGTTGTAGTTGACTCAACAGTACATAACAATAACACATTATTTCTTCTCAGATCTCAAAACCAAGAGCAAAGTGGCTGCTGGATCTCCACACATGACATCTGTCTTCCAGACTGGAAAAAAAAGGGAAAAGCAAAGGTTTTTTAGAGAAAACTTGCCTTTCTACTCAAGAAGGAAATCCTTTGTCTTTAATCGGGAGCACCTTGACCTGTCTTACCAACAAGAGGTTGCTCTCACAGGCACTGAAACTGACATTTCCCTGAAGTCAGAAGTTCGGAGAAACACAAAAGTGGGTTAGCTCCCCAACTGATCTCTACAGCATTGTCTTCAGATCAAGACATTTCAATGTCTCCAAGAAAGCAAGCTATCCCACACAATACAAAAGAGCAAAACAAGATGTCACCCCCCCAAAGGGTGACACAGTATCAGTGGATTTCCTGAAAAGCTAGAAAGTCTGTTGGAACTTTCTGACACAGAATTTAAAAGAAGGATGATTGAATATATTCAATAGATAAAAGATAAACTTGACAAATTAGAGGATACTATAAGCAAAAAACGGGAGGATCTAAAAAAAAACAAAACCAATGCAGAACAATGCAGAGAAAACAAATGAGACATTAGCAGCACTGGAAAAATAAGAAGCCACTATCCAAAATATAAGGTCCAATGTTTCAGAGGCTGTCAACATGATGGAGGGATACATGAGCAGAGTTGAAGAGATGGAACACAGAACCAGTGAAATTGAAGACAGAATCGTCACCACTGATCTGCTAGAGCCAAAAGCAGACTCAAAAAAGGAGGAAAAATAAGAAAACCTAAGAATAATGTGGGACACCATCAAGAGAAATAACATGTGCATTATTCGAATCCCAGAAAAGGAAGAAGCAAGTAAAGGCACTGAAAAAGTTGTGGAAGAATTACTAGAGGAAAACTTCCCAGGCATATTGAAGAACGAGAGAATATATATCCAAGAAGCTCAGCGAGCACCATATAGACTAGATCCCAAAAGAAAAACATCAAAGCATATCATAGTTAAATTTGCCAGAACCAAAGATAAGGAGAGAATCCTGAAAGCAGCAAGGGAGAAACAAAGAGTAACCTATAAGGGAGAACACATAAGATTAAGTGTCAATTACTCAGCAGAAACCATGCAAGCAAGAATAGAGTGGAAGGACATATATCGAACACTCAAAGAACACAACTGTCAACAAAGAATACTGTACCCAGCAAAATTATCCATCAAATATGAAAGAGAGATCAAGATATTTCCAGAAAAGCAGAACCTAAGAGTTTGTAAAACTAAGGCCAGTATTGCAGGAAAGACTCAAAGATGTCCTTTTTACAGACACACCACAGAAGGCTGCATGGTCCAAAGTAACTAGCAACAACACCAAAAAGAACTCAGCACAGTAATAGCAATAAAACTTTGCCTCTCAATAATCACACTGAATGTGAATGGTTTAAATACACCGCTGAAGAGAAAAAGAGTAGCAGATTGGATGAAGAAAAAAAAATCCATC